ACCTAAACAGTGATCTTTAATTTAATGTAATTTAATTTAGTTTAATTTAATTTTAATTTAATGTGGGTATATACCATGTAAATGTCTTCGTCTAAGCAAGAAACCTTAGACTTTACTTACAGTGTGAGCAGAGCTGATGGCTGGAGCTAGAAGAGTTTAGTGGGGACCCATTTTATGGTGGAAACCTTATTTTTTTCAGGTGAATCATATTCTAAACTTCACTGGCTGCAGTGATTAGAGTGCTGCTGACTGTACTGGGAGGTTTGATGGGGACAAATACGTTCTAAACACATAATGTTGAGATGAATCTTGTCCAAAGCACTTTATAAAGGAGTTTAACATCATTGTGACTAACTTCTATCCTACAAGTAAAGAAAAAAGAGCTCAAAGTGGTGGTGCGGCTCTCTCAGATCACATGCAAACCATGTGAGAGTGCAACTCAAGGACTGAGAAGGCTGGAGGTGCACAAGAGGCTGGGAGGGAGCACAGCCCGGGGGGCTGACCCAAACTGGCCGAAGGGATGTTCCATACCGTAGGATGTCTTGCTCAGCAGATAACCTAGGGGAAAGCTGGCTGGGCGCCACTGCTCAGGGATGGGCTGGGCATCGGTCAGTGGGTGGTGAGCAATTGCATCATGCATCACTTGCTTTGTATGTTCTTTTATTATTATTATTACTATTTTTACTACTATTTTATTTCAATTATTAAACTGTTCTTATCTCAACCCACTATTTTTCTCACTTTTCCGATTCTCTCCCCCATCCCACCAGGGAGAGGGGAGTGAGCGAGCGGCTGCGTGGTGCTTCGTTGCTGGCTGGGGTTAAACCACGACACTGTTCCTGACGCTTTGCAGTTTGGATGTGAAATTCTGAGCGCTGTTAAGGTATTTCTGACTGGCCTGCAGCCTTGGATAGGATTCCTGGATCTATGTGTAAAGAAAAAAACAAAAATCAATCTAAGAAGTAAGGGGTATTCTAGTTATACCAGGCTCGGCTCCAGACACACAGGTTGATGTAGCTGCCATGCCAGCTGGACTGAAATGTAACACTACCATGAACTGTGCCCTCAACTTCACCGAGATCAACTTCGCCAGAACTGGCTGCAAGCTCTTTGCACTGTTGTCCAATTAATTTATTTTTCCAGTGTTACCAGTAGGATATTTTTCCCCAATGCAAAATCTTGTAGTTTGAGCTGGATAAACCTTATATGCGAAAAGTTTAAGAAACAGGACTTCCTTGCATTGTTCATTAGGCAAACTATACTGAAAAAGTCATAAATGCTGCTTGCATTTTGACACAGGCACAGGTCATTTGCATTTACTGTTTTTCTGTTGTATGACAGAGAGGCTAGAAAATACGTGTAGTAGGGGAGTGATTTGATCCGCAATTACAATTCTATTTGTATGAAAAGAAACTCCAGTTTCTGCTAGTTTCTATAATGCCAGTTTCTAGTTCTAGTTTCTATAATACTGCTGTAAAATGAGTAAAAATTTAGAGGGGGCCTCTGAAATAGTATTATAATAACTGCTCTTTATTAGAGCAGCATTATAATGTTTCTGAAAAAAATGGTTTAAATTTTTTTTATTAGAAAAATCAGTGCTTATATGTCATTCAAAACCACTCACATCTCTCAATAATAGTTTTGTCTATCACCTTGAGACCCCAGAAAATACTCTTAAGACAACTGTGACAGAAGACAACTAATAGAAATTAATTTTCACTCCAGCTCACTTCAGCTAAGCTGCAGATAATACGGGGATGCTGCTGTAAGATGAAATAGCCCAGGGCAAACTTGAACTTTGTTAGCAAACTATTAACAGCTGTCTGAGATATGGGAGACCTAAGCTCAAAGCCCTGCTTTGGGAGGTAATCAGTGCTCTGATTACATATCCCCTATCCAAGGCTAGTCCTCTGTTCTGAGTTGCAGCATGGCCCCTAGCATGAGGTATCAGAGGGCCTGAGTTTGAAGGGTTGTGAAAATTCAGATGACTAAAGTGTTTTAGCTGATGATGCTAATGCACCTGAAAAATAGCATAGGATAGTCAGAGAAGGGTGCTGTCTAGTCCTTTGGCATAGTTTCTGCCACACAAGGAATGCTTTCAGATTCCAGTTACTCTTAATTCCTCTTGCTTCTTCATCTGCATCCCTTTTAGTATTTTCTAACCCTTTCTTTTAACTCCTTTTCTCACTCAGCTTAAGCTCAGGCTTTGAATTTTAGCTTATATTGTTGGAGTGATGTATGGGGTTTGCGTGGCAAGATTTTGGTAGCAGGGGGCCTACAGGGGTGGCTTCTGTGAGAAGCTGTTAGAAGCTTCCTCCATGTCTGACAGAGCCAATGCCAGCCAGCTCCAAGACGGACCCACCGCTGGCCAAGGCCGAGCCCGTCAGCAACGGTGGTAGTGCCTCTGGGATAACAGATTTAAGAAGGGGAAAAAAAGACTGTGCAACTGCAGCTGGAGAGAGGAGTGAGAATATGTGAGAGGAACAACCCTGCAGACCCCAAGGTCAGTGAAGAAGGAGGGGGAGGAGGTGCTCCAGGCACTGGAGCAGAGATTCTCCTGCAGCCCGTGATGAAGACCCTGGTGAGGCAGGCTGTCCCCCTGCAGCCCATGGAGGTCCATGGTGGAGCAGATATCCACCCACAGCCCATGGAGGACCCCACGCCAGAGCAGGTGGATGCCCAAAGGAGGCTGTGACCCCATGGGAAGCCTGTGCTGGAGCAGGCTCCTGGCAGGACCTGTGGACTCATGGAGAGAGGAGCCCGCATTGGAGCAGGTTTGCTGGCAGAACTTGTGATCCCACGGGGGACCCACACTGGAGCAGTCTGTTCCTGAAGGACTGCACCCCGTGGAAGGGACCCACGCTGGAGCAGTTTGTGAAGAACTGCAGCCTATGGGAAGGACTCACATTGGAGAAGTTCATGGAGGACTGTCTCCCATGGGAGGGACCCCACGCTGGAGCAGGGGAAGAGTGTGAGGAGTCCTTCCCCTGAGGAGGAAGGAGCAGCAGAAACAACGTGTGATGAACTGACCGCACTCCCCATTCCCCATCTCCCTGTGCTGCTGGCAGGGAGGAGGTAGAGAATTCGGGAGAAAAGTTAAGCCCGGGAAGAAGGGAGAGGTGGGGGGAAGTGTTTTAAGATTTAGCTTTTATTTTCTCATTACCTTACTCTGATTGGATTGGTAATAAATTAAACTAATTCCCCCAAGTTGAGTCTGTTTTCCCTGTGACGGTAATTGCTGAGCGATCTCTCCCTGCCCTTATCTCGACCCACGAGCCTTTCATTATATTTTCTCTCCCCTGTCCAGTTGAGGAGGGGAGCGATAGAGCCGCTTTGGTGGGCACCTGGCATCAACGAGTACAGTGTGTAAGACTGCATGGTTTGAATTCCTGTTCATGTCCAGGCATATCAGTCAGCATCTTGATTGGCTTTAGTTTATCATCCCCTATGCATCTGGAGTTTCTGCTGAGAGAAAAATCTTTCTGCCTGTATACCGCAATTATAGTTAAGGTGTTCAAGTAAGCCCAGGAAGAAGGGAGAGGTGGGGGGAAGTGTCTTAGGACAGATCTGAGATTTTTTTTCAGGACAGGATTCTTGTCTTTTTGCTCCAGGGAAATAACTTACCTGTCTTTCCTGCTCCCTTCTCCAGATGTGCAAGAAATATTTGTGGAGAAGCAGCATGGGAAGAGGAGGGATTTATTTTAATCCAAAGAGTAGATTTAGTTTTCTATTGAAAATGGGCAAATGTTGTATATATTTCCTTAGATGCTAGATAATGTTTTAGGATGTTCAGGGGAAAGATTGTATAGGTATTAATAAGTACAAGAAGGAAAAACAAGGCACAAAAATTACCTTTCCTGGTGTTTGAAGTTAACAGACTTGGTTGCATTTAATGGCATATTGATTGGATTACACAAAGTTGTCTCACACCCACCAGTAACAACATCCCACAGCTTGTAAAAGCACATTCTGCTTTGTAGCAAGTTTCAGTATTCTGAAAGTTGTATTAGGAAGACTACACTGCCTGTGTCCACCTTTCCAAACAGGCGTTTGGTTCAATCTCTATGGGGACGGCAGTGTTGCAGTACCACATTTTTGGGCAAACCACCAGTTATGATAAGTCTCAGGGTGCCATTACATAAGTAAGCTTGCCCCCAGCCCGCTCCCTGCTCCCCAGGAGATCTGGGTGAGTACAGCACATCTGTAGTCCAAACACTGCAATGCAGGGATTCTTAGGCTGCAGGCAGCCTTATCTGCTAAACCAGTGTAGTATGGTGCAATAGTGCATGAATGTACCAGCTCAGACTTGAAACTACTTTCTACATGTATTTTCGTAGTACTACGCTTAACTAAAGCTTTTTTTCCTCTCTTTGAGAAACTTTTCTTTTTTCCTGCCGTGGCAAAGTCTTGGATGTAGCATTCCTACTTTCCAGGGTACCAAACCACTAAGCTGATGTGTTTGTAGGAGTCTAATATCTGGTTTAACGGGATTATTTCTCTTTGTATGGTCTCTCTAGAAAAATGGTCTAAGCAGATCATTAGCTAAAGCGGGACACTTTTTCTTCTTACACCATCTTGCGTGGGGTCCAACAGGAAAGGTGCCCACTGAGGGGTGAACTCTATTGGGACAACACCGATGCT